AACCTTTTCTTTTCAGTGATACGCAATTTAATATTTCATTCTAAACTTCATGGATACTTTTTCATAATTTGGTAATACGAAAGAAAAATTCTATAAACATTTGAACATCTTGGAATCTTCTTGAATCTAATCAATAGCAGAAAGCACCTCTGCGCACTCAGCTACAGCCACAGTGGTGTAAACGTATTTTCTGTTCAGTGTGCTCAGTTTGAATTACATTCATTCAAACCAATTTGATTTCAAATTGAAACAGACACTTTTTTGAAAATAATTTAAAATCGCTACCATGGAAAAAACAAAGAGATTCTGTTTGAAAAAAATCATTTTTTCGTCTGTCGACTTGCGAACTGGTTCGGAACTATGCATATCGAACTGGAACACATCTGTCTATTTTAGGGCTGGTTAGGATGCAAAGAGAATTACTTGCACATTAGTCATGGTTCCAAATTCTCTGGTACCGAATTAGTTCGGCACTAGTGCGTTTCCCCACAGGGGGTAGCAGAGTTCTTTATATGTGTATACCTACATACAAGATATTTGCACTTACGACCTATATGTATGTATGTATGTATAGCTGCACCTTTTATAGGTTGATTTATCTACATATATAAATGAATTAACGTTTTCGCTTTTCGTCTTTCATAGAAACAAAATACCATGGTCTACATTTTTTGACCGAGTTGTGTGTCTACGCCCTCACAGCCTTGACAATGCAAAATTTCAAACAAGGCAATGTACAATAATCGAAGAATTCCTAAATAAGTTCTCAACAAATCGATATAGAAACCATGGTAAGGAACATTTTTAGTTCATTAGTTCAAATTAGTTATGCATTGATGGCTGAGAGCATTCTTGCTCATACTATCATTTTTATTTCTACTTTATATTGCAGGGTACTGCCATGATATATGTAGGTACTACCAATCGTTTTAGGTTAGACACCTAATCAAATTAATTTCTTTTCTAAATCACCTAAGTAATTTTTAGAAATTGAAATTTCGAAATGCAATGATTAAGTATAATAATACAGTTTCGAGTTTTAAAGTACAGTAGCGACTTCCTGTTTTGCTAATCATATTTAATCTTTAAGCCTTGAAGCTAAAAAGCACGCACTTAAAGAGGCTTGAAGTCTTAGTTTATGCTTTGCACTGAGGAAGTTGGGCTTTAGGAAAACTTCCGAAAAGTTTTTAAGGGTGATGCATCAAGCGAATCGAATAAGTTGAATATGGTTTTGGGTACCTCAAACTTGGTTACTTATTCCTGCATTACGTTCTGGAATGTTGCATTTGAGAAGTGTACACGACTTCTTCACAAATGCAGCTTTCGGCACATCTGTGTGTGTTGGTGTAGCAGACCTTTAGGCACAAAATCTGGTAAATTGCCTAAACCCAGTGGTGCGGCAACATATTTTCATAATTATTCATTTTACCTTTTATTTGCTACAAAATTGTTTATAAAGTTTTGGCTATTGCGTACTTTTGTATCATTTTTTGATGCCCTTTTTCATTAAAACCAATATTTGTTGTAAATATATAGCATTTCATTTCGAAACTTGCAAAATACAAATTGTGTGTTTTTTTACTTCAACTTAATTTGCTGTTTATTCAAATATGAGCGACTTTTTATAACCCACACATATCAATAACGCCACAATTCAAAATTACAATTTTTTGAGTTATATATCGGATTAGGTTGATAAATAACCATATTTTTGTATGGAAAATTGACATATAGGACTTGTTACCAGTCCGACCAGGGACGCAATTGTGCCCTTTGTCAGAAAATCGAAGTAGGCAACCCTTACAACTGTCATACACTTATGGTGACATTTTTCGTTTTGTGCCGTTGTTCAGTTATACCAGTGGACTGAGTTTCGTTTAACTACTTATTAACAGTTACTTATTTCGTCTTTTTTCAGTCTAATCCTGGCTAAATCTTTATTAAGTAGTCATAAATTGAAAGCTTACGAATTTTCCCCTGCAAAACGGCTTTAGAAACGAGACTTAAGCTAGCCATTCAGCTTATTTTACACCAGTGAACATACATATTCCGAATTATATCATACAGTAAACTTAACTCAGCGTCAGCACATAAAATGGAGGTGGCATTGAATAACGTCATACGCTAAGTCTATGGTATCAGAAAGTACGATCATATCACTCCATGGAGAAATAAAATTCTGGGTTGCAATATCTTCGACCAGCACGATGCGAGAAACTCTTTGTGACCAAACTGATACGACCAGTGTCGCGTAGACCTCACAGCCCTTTGGTACCTAAGCATACCTATCTAACCTCGTCCAGAATGTTTTTCGTTAACGCTAAAGGTGGAACTGAATAGACTACAAAACAGCAATTCTTCATTACTTCTGTGAACTATGTTGATATACTGAATTAATATTCCCTGACTTCTTTTTCTTCCTACTATGCTTTCAATCTATAAATCTTTATCCCTACCAAATAAAAAATAATGTAAATTTTAACATGGAAAATGTTACTCATACGCCATGTACGAGTACGATATGGCGTATTAGTAATACTTAGTAGGAGAGCCAGTGACATTTTCCTATTATTTAGTTATGGCATATTTTTTGCCAGAGCGTTACGGAAGGTATATTGAGGTGTCATCCATGAGACGAGGCCCTGTTCAGGGTAGCAAGGAGAGGTAGAACTTGTAAAAATCTAAGAACAAAATTATTATTTAGTTAAGGCTGTATTTTTATCCACTGAGTCTCTGAAAGTCAACCATTATCAGGATAATATTTGCAGATCGATCAGCCGGTAATAAAAGGGTTGCAGAACACCCCTAATGTCTCATATGTTACTCATACGCCGTGCAGGAGGATGCCGGAGCATATCCATGTACATACTACATAGCGTACGAGTAACGTTTTTTCCTGCTCATAACGTTTTTTCCTGCTCATATGTTATTAAGAAAAATAATTAGGCATTTTCCTTTGACCACTCACTACTTTTTTGTGAAGGAACAGGCTTTTATACTAATGAAACAAATTTACAAAAAATCTCTTATTTTTTCACTCTTTCCCTGGTAAAGTTTTACTTTAATTTTCATAGAAATGCAAAAAGTTTTGGGAAAATGGCCTGATCTATAAAAACAGAATACAGATTCGTAATCCAAAACTCAAAGTTAATTTTACGTATTTCTGCGTTTTTTTTTTTGTATCATTTCAAAACTTGAGATTTTCGCTGCAGTGTTATGAAAAGACAGGAAAATCCCTTAACTTGAACTAGTTTTACCGAAAAATTTTTCTTTACTTGTAATCCAAATAAAATTATAAGATATCTCAGTAACGGATGTTTACCTTTAAACGGAATTCGTAACAGAATCTTTTATAGAAAGAAAAGTAAACATAAATTCGCGAATCGGAAATTAAGTGGAATCAGTCTGATAATGTTGCATACATGTGTTGCAGGATCAATAAAGACTTCCTTGAAATTACCACTGTCACCATGTTTCCACCAATCATATAACTACATAGTAGATTCTTTCCCTAACAATCCGGACCGGATCCGTTAATTAGAGAATAAGCGAAAAGTTTGCTCTCAAAAGTGGAACATAGTCCAGAAGTACGGGAACGCAAACAACCACATTTCGTGCCCAGAATTTGAGAAACAGCTGATTCACGTTGTTTTTGTTTTTTTGTTTGTCACTTCAGTGCAAAATCTTGGAAATTTGGTTTTTAGTATATAAAAATTTAAAATACATACATCACTATTCCTTAAAATCACCAAGTAAATGCAGGCAACACGTAAAGTTTTAGTTACTCATACGCCACGTTGTTCACGTATCCCATTTATTATACCCGCGCGCACTTATGCGATAAATCAGTAACTTCTGAAGCTTATGCACTCAAAATTGATATTTACAATATATTGAGGGAAAACGATGTAAAAAAAAATTGGAAAATGACCTCGTATGTGTATTGCGGTAACTAACTTGGACTAAAATTACGCAAATTTTTCACGTAACCGTGTATTTCGGAAATTCGGAAAGTTCGATATTTCGAAATTTATGGACGCTAATTTACTAAAATTTAATGCTCACAGCAATCTCTAAAAAACTAAGATCATCAGGGAATTTTGGAACACGGTCGTGGCACCGACCACTTATGACTACATACTTACGTATATTTCATTAAGTCTAACAGAAGATATTATTGAAAATGCTTTAACAAGGGGCTAAACCACCCCTGATTAACCTGTAATGGTAGTTTTCAGAAACGTGGACAAACTATATTTAATACGTGCGCCGGCTATTTGCCGGTACTAACACTTCTTTAATTTAACGAGTTTAATTTTTAACAGCACCTAAAGCTTTCTCAGTATGAAGTATCGGTCGTAATTTCTACTTTAATAATTTAATAAATTTTGTCTGGTTTGGCAGATCTATGTATAAGCTTAGAGCCACGCAGTTTTTCCTCTGTAAGTAGTATTTACATACTACATACATACATACATACATATAACGAATTCTATCTGTCTTCTAAAGACTATATGTGTGTGTTAAGTGGTAAAAAAAAAATCCCGTATTCTTTTAAATACATTCGTATTTTTAAAAAATAAAATAACTTCAAATACATATTAAGAAATAAATTTATTTTTATGTTTTGTCCATATTAGAGTTCATAAACGTACTCGAAAATAAATTTTCGAATTCGAACTAATTTCTATTATATGTACTACCAGCCGCTAATTCATTCAATTAGCTTCTGTTTATTGCAACCGGTTATAGTATTTTTAATTTTTACATGGTATTTTTGAATCAGAGTAGTTTTTTTTTTTTTTTTTCTTTTCATATACACAGAGAAAAATAAAATATATATAACTGATTACATTAGAATATGAATGGAATTTGCATACAAAAAGCCTAAGTAAATTAAATTGTAAATACAATAACAAAAATCCGTTTAATTATAAGATGATTACGATAAATACAAAACAAATCTACATAATGCCATACAAACCAAAAATAAAATGGTGGTCGAATATTTAATTTTTCTTTACTTGATACAATGCTAAAAGGCAACGAAAACATGATAGTAATCTTACAAGAATATAATTATATGTACTTAATAGGAGCTCGTTAAGCGCTTACCGATTTTCGAAATTCCCGAAACACGTTCGAATGTCGATTCTGTGGTCTTATGTAAAGTAATCACAGTATCAGTTAGATGGCCTGTCAATGAATAAAAAAGAAGGACATTAAATTACTCATGCATATACAAATTCAAATACAATTACAGCTAATATGCTCACTAGAGCTGTAGCAAACCGTATGTATTCGTTACTGAGTAACGGCTACAACCCCTGATCGTACCGTACCGAATCGTTACTCACATAATAATCTCGTTACTCGCATGTGCCGTATATGCACCACTAACATGAATCAATACAACATAACATATTATGCGGGAACGAAACTGTTGTTCGTATCGATACTAAAATGTGTTGCGTGTGTATTTACGTACATGCACGCATATATACGAACGAACACTTTCTGACGCTAAGAATTTCGTTGCGATGATTCGTGTGAGGTAAAAGTGCTTGTATCAAAAGTAACGAGTAAAGTAACTTTTCGAAAGATACGGATATTGATTGGATTAGTAACGATTACATACGGGTATCCAAATTTTCGTTACTTTTACAGCTCTAATGCTCACTTACTTTTCTCATCGGAAGTTTTGCGTGGCGATGTTTCTACTGTGTCTTGCCTATCAGTTCTGATTTCGATTGGCGTCGGTGGTGGGGTCTGTGAATCTGGAATGTCGCTCGCTGTATTATAAATAAAACAATTAAAGCACTTAAAAGTTGATAATTCGCTTAATTGTATTAAAATTCGAAAGATTACCTTTCGTTTTGAGCTCATCGCCTATTTCAATTTGTCCCGCGCTCATCTTCTTTGTAATCGTCTCCTCAACTGACTTGCAAAACTCAGCGTCTGTGAGTGTTATAGACTTTCGTGGTTGTACAGGTGCAGGTGCAGCCAACTCATCGGTTGTCTTGTGGGCGATTGTAGCTTGGGTTGCTTGCTGCTGGTCAACTGGTAACTGAGTTCGCTGTTCTGCGGCCAAGAAGTCATCGGTCAATTTAATTGTGTCTATTTTTGTTGCCGCCTCCGTTACAATCTTGTTAATTTCTTCACTCAAGCCAGTGCTGCTAACAATTTGCGCTACTGGCTGTGTATCTTCGCGTGCGGGTAGTGTAGTTGTTTTACCATACGCATCCGTTACAATAGTTTCTTTAGTCGGTTTTGTGCTTGTCGTGAATTGGGTGGTCTGTTCTATGGTTAGAAAGTCTTCAGTTAACTTTCTTACGCCCACTGCAGTCACCTTGTCTGCCTCATTGATGGGCGCGGCTACCTCAATGCCATCTTCTTTTGACTTATCGACTACTTTTATTGCTTCTTCTAGCTTTTTAATTGATTCAACAAGTTTAATGCTCTCCTCTTTGACTGTATCCGTCACCGCTGAACTCATCTTGAGTGTAGTTGTTTTCTCATCGACTACAATGTCAGGTTCGAAATCGATTAGTGTTGTGTCTGACTTAGTATCTGTTTTTGCTGGTTCTTCTCTCAAGGCTTTCACGTCCATTTTGATATCTTTAAGACTTTCCTCCAACGACCTAACGGCTTCCTCAGTTCCGAGTTTCGGTACGGTAGCCATGATAACGCTTGTCGTTTTAATCAGATCGCTCATCGCGCTCTTAACCTCGGTAGTTTCAGTGTCTGCTAACACCGGGGCTGTAGCTGGTTGCTGTCTAACTTCCAAGCCAGAGGATAGGCCAGGAACGACAGTAGCACCCAAAACTGAGGGTATAACAGTATGAGTGGCAGATTTTAAGAGTTCATGTTTCTGATCTTCTTCTGCTGGTTCTTTGGAGGTCGGCAACTGCATTTGTTGTTCCATTGTCAGGAAGTCTGCTGTTAGCTTTTTCGTTTCAACAGCAGGCAGCGTTTCGCTTGACTTTTGTGCTTGCTGAGTTGAAAGAATCGTCTCAATTGTAGTTTTTTCTTCTTTAGCCGTCTTATCGATTTTCACTTCATCGGCCGCGGCTTTAGATAGGCCTGTTGTTTCTTTTGTCACATCCACAACACTGCTTAACACTTTTTTAGTTTTTTCAATTTGTGTGTCTATTTCCTGCTTGGTTACCTCTGTCGTCTCCTTCAAAGTTTCAGTTGCCGTTTTCTTCGCAACCTCTACAGTTTTAGCAGCTTCTTTTAAGTCTTTCGTGGTCTCAGACACGTCAGATACTATTTTACTTTCTACTTTATCCTCGGTTTGTTTCAAATCTTTTATGGTCTTCAATACTTCAGTCTTTGTGGCGCTCTCAAATTCGCGTGCGCTTTCTAAAACTCCTGTCCGCAACTCAGTCTTCGAATCCACTTCTAGTCCTTTTTTAGTTTCTTTAAGATCTGCAGCCAAATCTTTAGTAACTTCTTTCATTTGCATTTTTGCTATTTCGACGTCTTTCGCTGACACCTCCAATTCGGTTGTAGTTTCAAAAAGTTCTTCAGCCGTTTCCCTTACCTCCGCAGTGCTAGTTGCAAGTTCACTCACTGTTTTCTTCGCCTCCGTCTGCGCCTTTTGTTCCATGCTCAAGAACTCATGCGTCAGCTTCTTTGTTGCGGTGGTAACGGTGGTAACGGTTTCGCCACCTTTTTCGATAACTTTTTCGAATTCTTTTGTGATTTCTGTGACTTTATGTATTGGCTCTGCGGGAGTCTTCTTTCCCTCGGCACTTTCGGGCTCCGCCTGCACTTCTGTAGAGAGTCGCGCTCTTGGCTCTGGCACCCTTTCGGCCAGAGATGTTCTTTTCTCAGCGACTGGACGTGTGGTTTCCTGAAGTGGTTCATCGACAGTAATAGCTTTTTTAGTTATTTCAGTTGCGATAGGCAATTGAGATTTTTGCTCCATACTTAGAAAGTCTTCGGTGATGGATTTCTCAAACGATTTAGTGGGCTCTTCGCCTGCCTGATACACATCGTCTGTTGGCATCTCACCGTGTTTCTTTATATCTTTTGGTAGCACTGATATCATGTCATAGGTAACACCTCTAGCTTCGAAGTCGGCAATTTTATCCTCAATTGTGCTACCCTTCTCCTGGTTCACTATGGATGTTTTACTCTCTGTGGGCGGCAGCTTTTGCAGTTCATCCTCATATTTTCCACCCTCAAAAGCAGTTATAATTTTCTCAATTTTCTGACTCGATTTCTCTACCGTTTCCGCAACTTTCAATTCTTTTTCCTTTACTTCTTCAACAAATTTCTCGCTGATGGTAATATCTGCTGGAAGTTGCGTTTGCTTTTCTACATTTAAAAAATCTTCAGTCATTTGCTTTGCCTTTTCTTGTTCCGAAGTAATCGGCGACTCTTGCAGGTGCTTTGGTTTCTCTACAGCGCTAATATCTTGTACGATTTTTAAGTTCTCATCATCCTGAATTTGCTTATATTCCGTTGTGGAATCTTCCTCTTCTGAGCTACGTCCAGAAGTTTTTAATTTGTGCGTCAGTTCCTTATCAAAATCACTTTTACTTATTTCCCCTGTATCCATTTTACCCATTTTCATTTTCATAACTTGATCGGGAGCAACAGTGGACTTAACAATGTTATCTGTCGGTAATTGCATATTAATTTCCGACTCATGAATAGCCTTTTTGTCCTCGATTAGGCTCTTACGTTTTATTTCGGAAATTTCGCGTGTAATTTCCTTTTTCTGCGATGAAGCTGGAATTTGCCGCTCGATGGAGAGTCTTTTAACGATCTTCTCTCGTCGTTCGGCTACAGTGCGCTTCGTGATTTCTTCGTCTGATTCAGATTCTTCCACTTCCTTTTCCTCCGCCGAGTATTTGACTTCCTCATGGTCATGGATCTGTTGAATTCGTTTACCTACATATACAAAAAAATATAAATCGTGTAAGCAACTTTTATTGAAATACTCCTTAAATTCTGTTTTTCATTCCACTTACTCTCTTGTCGCACGAGTTCCTCCACCGATTCCGAATTCTTCATAATGTCGGTTTCGTCAAAGTCGCGAGAGTGTGAAAGCCGCCCACTTTTGCACTTTTTCATAATATCATCACGTCCAATATTTTTGAGCGCTACTTCTAAGGCGTGTATATCGTAATTTGGTTTATCCTTGAAAAGTCGTATCATGCTTTGGGCCTGCCGCGCAATACTATCAGTATTTTGATTTATGATCTCATCAATCTCTTCCGTACTAATACCGATTTCAGAGGCTAATTGTATCCAATCCTTGCCTAGTAAATTGGACAAATCCACAATACGTATATCGCCGATGTAATGATCGTTCTGATGTTTGCTCAAACTAAACAGCGAGCTCCGATAGGTTGTGGTAATCTTATCGCTGAACTCGGTAGTTGTATCCGGTATGACAATGTCGGGTAATACAATATTCAAAATACAGATGGGATGTTGCGGTGGCTCGCCCTTTGCAACTTTTGGCTCCTTCATAAACAATGTACGTCCCACAATGTCGGCGTGTTGGTCCTTGACACGTACCGTAAATGGTAGACGATTTTCACGGAATGCTTTGAATTGTAATTGCAATTGATCTCCAGATTTGGTGACTGGCACTAAATTACCAGCCATTTCAATAAATTGTGGTTTGCCTTCGAGTACTTCAACGTCACGACTCTTGGCAACTTCTGTAAACCTTTCCTGCTTTTCGAGTGTCTTATCTTCGCGATCATCGGTCATGCAGAAAACTCGCAGGCGGGCTTCGTAAGGTTCCACTTTCTTGGCGAAGACTACAAACTTGGCCATAAACGGCACATGGATTACCTCCCTAAATAAAAAAAAAATAATTATTTAGAGAAATATATTTTTACGGTTTTTTGTATGATGCACCATCTCCGGCAAACGGAAGATGGTTTTAATTAGACATGTCTTCTTGAAAAAATGTAATTCATTATTACTTTGCAATAACTCGACAACAAGTAGAGCAATCTATTAAAGATAGCGAACCGTCAAGTTGAAGAAACGTATTGTTTTGACACCGATAAGAACTCTTATATGAAATCGCTAGAATTTTAGAAGGCTTCCGTTTTATCCGTTTATTATGGAGGGATTAATATGAATTTTGTTTCTTAGTGAAATTGAGGATGGTGAATTCAAAACTGCAATTTGTTTTTAGATAGCTTTCATACTTTCACTGTTAATCCAGTTTAAATCTGAAAATTTGGGTTCATGTAGCTTTTACTTATAGTTCGTCAAATTACAGGGCTTTACCTGTACATATATGTGCACTAAAGCTTTATTTTTTGAAAAGGGTTGCCATCTGTTACAAATTCCATTAAAATTTAATAAGTTTAAAGAATTAGGTAATACAATATAGGTATGAATCGAAATGGTTTTCAAAATCTCTTGCTTCTAAAATACTCGTAGAAGGGTTGCCACCTCTTTAAAAGATCTAATTCAATTCAATTAAAGGAATTAGGCAACTGAAATATGTGTATCAGACCACGAGAAAAAATTCGACATATTTAACAAGAAATAAGTGAAAATAAAACATTCCTAAAACTTTAAAGTTAATTTAATATTCCAGTTATTTAAAAGGAATGTAATTAGAACAAATTCGTAATAAAATAACAAATACGATGTCATAAACCTTTCGTTTGACACAAATATTATTTCAATTAAATTAAATTTGACTACAAACAGGCGACGCACTTCAATATATTTTCAAGCTAAAACCTCTTTCGTCCGACTCCCGTATGGTGTTACCTATCCATTTCAATAACCTAATTCCCTTAATTCAAATGGAATTTAACTTTTGAAGCAGGTGGCAACACTCCTACATGTATTCAGAAATAAACCCTTTTGATAACCATTTGGATTGATACTCAACCTTAGGTAATTCATTTAACTTATTAATTAAAATTACAAAATTTCTTCTAGCTTTGTTGATATCGTGTGGATAATTCTCCTAAATGCGTGGATGTGTATGAAAATTTAATATTCGCTACGTACTTGTAAAGTTCGGTGGCCATCTTAGTAGCTTCGGAGATGTTCCTGCAGTCCATCAACCAAAATCTAGCCGATACGGTTGTGGTAAATGAAACACAATCGTTTACGAATGTCAATGGTGTTGAGCCGGTCACATCTTCCCATTGTGCGCGAGATGGTCCACCTATAAACGTTCAACACAAAAATCGAGACGAGATACAGTAGTGTTTAGTTCTAACGATACAGCGGCATATAACGCTAAAACAGTTAACTTAAAAATATTTTTTGTTTCTACTACAAATCCATTAGCAAAAACATAAGGAGTAATAGTTGTAATAAAATGTTGTCAATAAATTAATCGAAAACGAAACTGGAAATCATAAATTTATCAAAAAGGTGTCGCTGTTAAATGAATGAATCGAAACACAAAAGAAAGAAAAGCTTAATGTTTAGCTTCTAAAATAGACGATAGAAAATATTTAAATAGTCAGAAAATGTGAGGAATGGATGCAAAATGTCAAACTGAAATAAATTCGCAAATGTCAAGCAGCTTTGAAAAATAGCGCTTATTAGCATTAAATAGATATATGCAAGTATATAAATGGCTTTACTTCTAAAATTAGTTTTAATTGAAGCTGGTTTTGTTTCGTTTTTGCTATTTATATATAAATATATATATATATTTTTTTTTGTTAACTTTCTTGAAAAACATGCGCTATTAAGAGTTAAAAATTATGGAATGTGAAGATTTTGTGTATCTGTGTACGTGTTCAACGCAAGAAAATAAAACAATATTTTTATTTCATAAGACTGGTGAAAATTGCCAACTTTAATTTAATTATTTCATATATGTAATATATAAAATTAAATATAATTCAAACTAAACATAAATAATACGAAGAAAAATAAATTTATAAAATGCATGAAAATAATGAATATCACAAGCTGTGCTTGAATCGCTATAACGGTTTAACATTTTTATAATTAAATTATAGGCAACAGCAGCATATTTGTGATATAGTTTGTTTTGCGAATGTTTTCCACTTTTGAATGGACATTTAAAAATTCTATGACGCATTCGAAAGATTTTTATTTTGCCTGAGTTTCGTATGACTTCTTATTCGCTATAAACGTATGGAGTTAGGTAATTGCTAAATTATTTCAAATAGCGTTGAGGCTTCACTTTCAGAAAAGTTCTCTTTGGTACCACAAACAGTAGAAAATTCAAAAATGTATGTTGCTAATAGTATATTTTCCTAGATATTAAAAATTTATTAAAAACAACAAAAAAAAAAAATTAAAACGAAAATTTCCAATATAAATCAATGAGTGCAAAAAATTTGCTAATTAAGAAATAGTATAATTCGTTTTGAAATACTTATTATAAGCAGCATAACTTGTCTGAAAAATACACACAAAAAATGATTTTGTCCACACTCGGCGCAGAAGAAACCTCCAATCAACAGTGTTATGAAATCTAATATCAATACATCTCGTTTGATTTTATTAAGCCCTCCATGAAAGCATTGCAATCATATGCTAAAAAGATATGCTACATCCACGAACCAGTCACAACCAAAACATACAGATTTTATATGGGTAAATGAGACGCTGCACTGGTGCGCCAGCAGAGCGTTTTTAAGGCTGCGTTACCTTTTTTTATATTGAGATTTGTATATATTTTATATCAGCAATGGGCACAGAGAGCTTTTAAGGGGCACGCATAGAGTAAAAGTTCACTCTGGACGGCGCTGCCGATATAAAAAAAATCACTGGGTAAAAGCTCTCTCTGGCCATTAGTGGTTTATGTGAATAAGCTACACCCAGAGAGAGCTTTATTCTCTGCGCGTCTACATAAAATGTAAGGAAAGCTTAAAAAAAGTCTGTTTAATTTGATCATGTCTAACAACTACTTATGTACGAACACAGTTCTCTGATCGTCACTGACTTAAAGCTAGTCATGACTCATAAGCAGATAATATACCACAGGAGAAACTTTCTAAGGATTTTATATGGGTGCACACAAAGTAGAATACTCTCTCGTATCGTAACCGGCTCTGTATTTTTAACCGACTTCCAAAAAAGGAGGAGGTTATCAGTTCGTCGGAAAATTTTTTTTGTTGTTTGTATTTTCTTTTTTTTATGTATGTTACCGGATAACTTTGGACCACGTCAACCGTCACGTCACGTCAATAATTCTTTTTGTATCGGAAAGGTAGTGTCTCAGAGGTGGTCCCATACTAATCTGGTTTAGATCCGATCATTGGATCATGGAATTGATGCTCAAAACGGCTTCCGCGGGCAAAGCTTTTTTAAGCTTTCTATACATTTTGTATAAACCACTGATGGGCACTTCCTTGCCCGCGGGCAAAGCTCTTTTAAGATCCCTATACATTTTCTATAGGCGTGTGCAGAGTAAAAGCTCTCTCTGCCCATCGCTGGTATAAACGTGCACGGAGTAGAAGCTCTCTCTGAGCATCACCGAAACATGGTGGCCACAGTTGCATTCATCAATTGAAACAATTATCCATATAAATGACCAATTATAATAAGGTGGAATTATAGAGTATTTTCGCTCAAATTTAAAGTAAAGTTCTGAACACATTGAAAACGACGAGCTACGGACGACAGCTTCCAATTTATCATCTTCATTATCTAAACGCTTTGTCGATGGCGACATGATTTCTTTGAACGCGGTAGCGACATCATAAATTTGTATGAGTTTGACATACAAGAAGAGGAAGAACCTTATCTGTCGCCAGAAAAATATAAATAGATCTGGCCACAACCACAGCCGTCGCGTAGCCCGGTCGTTGCCAAAATAATTATCTACATAAGAGTACGTGTTAAAATAATTTGACAGCTGTGGTTTGTAGCTCGTGGTTTTCATTGTGGTCGGGCTGTAAGAAACTCTGTTTATTTAAATGAGTTCCAGAGAATAAATGATTTGGGAATGCGTCCATGTGTTGAACAGGACAGACTAGCTAATGAATATTCCAATTTTTAGGTATTTAATTTCTAAGGTACCTCCAGTTGTTGCCTTTACATTATGTATGTATGTAATTCAAATTCTTACATCAAAGGTGTTTCAAACTAATAAACTCACAGCCGAAAATTTTCACAGCTTGTTCAAGTTATTGTGATTTCGAGGCTTTTTGCATGGAATACCCCTATTTTTAGTATCGTATATAGCCCAATATTATAGTTTACAGTTTATATGACTCATAAACCAGTATTTATTTACTAATTATTGAATTTATATAGTGATTTTGGTCAGAAATTGGTCTAGAAAATAATGGTACTAGTACCAAATAAACATTGGGCTTGGCCATGATGCAATAATACAGGTGTTATCAGTTGGCAACTTCTTGCTCTAATTCCGCCATATTGACTGGCTTAGGTGAGACAGTGTTACTTCTTTAACAATTCTTTGCCTAATAATATGGTTGAAATTTATTTTTTTTTTCAGTATACACATTTTTTTCTTTAAAAGGTATTTTATCTTATTTTATTTCATTTTATTACGAATATACTATAAAAAAGCAAATTTTGTTAAGGAAAAAATGTGAAATTTTATATTTTTCCCCCAAATGGGGCTTAATTTCTTCCCGTTTTTCTTCTCGTTCTACTGAGCTAAGGCAGTGTCAAATCGAGCTGTCACAATTGATACCACCTTGTATTATTGCATCATGGGGCTTGGCTAGCAATTCGAAAATGATTGGAAAACGAATATTTTTTTCGGGTCTCACCTTTGATAAATTATTTCGGCCCTATCGAATTTTCTGTGCCTCTTTTGGGCTTATCGATTTTTTTTTTATTTCTCTTGCCTCCTACATCAAAATATAAAGGCGGATTCACCGCTCGTGTCCGAACATTTTTTTGTTAGTAATTTTATACGTTCCTTTTCCACTCTGTCTCGCTGAGAGCGCCACAAAAATGTGCTGAACGCCAGTGTTGCCAGTTGAGTTATTTTGTAGCTAGATTTAGCTATTATTTTCGACGTTTAGCTATAGAAATTTGCGTTTAGCTATTAACTACATTTTTAGCCTTTTTTTCTTTTAATCGAGTCAGCTATTTTGGCTAAAAAATTTTTTACAATTTTCTCATTTTTGGACAGAGTTTTATCATTTTGATGAATAGCAAACTGTAAAAAAATTGGTATTCTGGCATGCCTGACCCCATTTTTTTATATCGATTACACCGTGTGAACACGAAACACACGAAGCATCAATATACTTACGAAACTTAGAAAGCTTCGTTTGTGCCATTAAGAATAACAATATGGGTACCAAATGAAAGAGAAAATTCTGGTGATTTAAAAAAAAAAAATCATTGGTTTACGAGGACGAAAATTCGCTTTTAATTAATTTAATTTTCTAAGCTTATAAAATTGTACGAAATTCGTGGATTTGATCTTAAGCACCAAAAAATTTAATCTGCCTTAATTCTATAGATTTTTCTCTTTAATTTAATACCCATACGGTTTTTCTCCATTGCACTGAGTTTTTTAAATAATCATATTTTGCAAATTTCAAATTTTAAAAAATCCTGACGTCAAAGGGAAAAACAAAAAACGCAGTCTACCTATATTTGGCCCATGGTTTCGCGAATGTGTTGATTTATTGGTGTGTAAAATTGACCGTCACACGGAGGTATCATGTAGTATGTAATCTAATCGCTGGTTTCATCTTCAATAATTATTTGTTATAATCAATCGCCTAGTTTCGTTCAGAACGTTTTCCCTTAAATATTGTAATATCTTCACTGGGCCAAGGAAATGGAAAGCAAACTGTTAAACTAAACCAAAGATAGTTTTATATTTTAGGAATAGATTTGCAGATTTGAGCCAAAATTTTAATAATATTTACTAGTCACAATTGTAAGGTATTTTAATTACTACTCCAATTCAATGTATGTAAATATTTAAGTTCTTATTTGTTTTGTGTTTAATTTATTTAGCTGTTTTTGAAGGAAAATATTTTTAGCTATGTTGTTTGGCTATGAAACAAATATTTGAGCTCTTTTTTTCGGAGAATTTTTCTATAAGCCTCAAAATTTTCTGGCAACACTCTTTGTTCGAATCAAATTAATTTTGATTTTCTCCCTTTTATGCGTATTGCAGCGAATTGAAAATGTTCTGAACTAAACAGTGAATCGTACTTCTCAACCTTTCTCTCTAA